TGCTTTAGCTACTCTGTGTTCAAGGGCAAGTTTCAGAGTCTCTTCTGACTTCCATTTTAGTCTTGTCTTTCTTTCCTGTTTTTTAAATGACCTTCTCCTTTCTTCATATATGATATCATTAATATCATCCCACAACTCATCTGGTTTTTGGTTACTAGTGTTCAATGTGCCAAATCTATTCTTGAGGTGGTCCCAAAATTCAGTTGGGATATGCTTAAGGTCATATTTTTGCTCTTGTGGACTTGTTTTAATTTTATTTGTATTCAACTTGTACTTGCATATAAGCTAATTGATGTTAGCTTGTTACACAGTATGCCTCCACCCTTGTTCTAACTGATATTGAGCTTTACCATCTCTTTCCACAGATGTAGTCAATTTAATTCCTGTGTATTCCATCTGGTGAGGTCCCTGTGTACAGTTGTTGTTTATATTGTTGGGGGAAAAAAAAGAGATATTTCCAAAGATTAGGTCTTTGATCTTACAAAATTTCATCATGCAATCTCTGCCATCATTTCTATCACCAAGACCCTATTTTCCAACTACTGATCCTTCTTTGTTTCCAACTTTTGCACATCAATCTTCAGTAATTATCAATGTATCTTGATTGCATGCTTGATCAATTCCAGACTGCAGAAGTTGGTAAAAATCTTCAATTTCTTCATCTTTGTCATTAGTGGTTGTGCATATATTTGAATAATAGTTGCATTAACTGGTCTTCCTTGCAGAGATGATGGAAAAATTTGGAAACAGATTATGGTGATATTTCCAGATAGATAAGTAGACAGATAGAGATAGATAGATAGTATTCTCACACTAATAATGCAACCCCTTCATGTGTTATTTTCCTAACTGCTCTTTGCGTGTTTTGTGTGTGGATGTGTTATTTACAAAATATTATATATACATATATACACACACACACACACATACACACAAACATGCCCCAAAACCAAACTCACTGCCGTTGAGTCAATTCTGACTCATAGTGACCCCCATTGGGTTTCTAAGACTGTAAATCTTTATGGAAGTAGATTTCTCCATCTTCCTTCTGCAGAAAATTTGGTGGATTTGAACCACCAACCTT